CTCACCTGATGGAAAGTGACGATGAGGTCGACGATGGAGCACACCTAAATAATGCCTATTCTCTCTCGCCTTGAAAAGGTCCAAGTTATAACGTTCAGGGAACAAGTCTGCAGGCAGGGAATTCCACTCCATAGCCGTTCGCCATATAAATGTGGAAGCGTAACGCTTCGCACGAAAGGATGGTACCCAATCCTACGTCTGGTACCCCCGCATTCACCTTTTCATCATCGGAAAAGGGGAATGCGGAATCAAATTATGCAATTCCACCGCACACTCTCCGTGATATATCCTGTAGAATACCGATAAGCAGGCAACTTTATAACGGTGTCCTTCACCAATTCTGAGTCACCTATAAGCCTCTTGGCACAATTGTTGATTGAATCCAAGGTGGCCAGTTGGTATGTAGCAGAGCCATCCCAAACTGCCAACACCCTCCGGCATCGGGACGCAGTAACGCTCACATCACTGCTTGACGTCAGGAATAGGTCAACCGACTTAGGAATAGGTACATAAAGTGGCAGTACTTGCTTCGACAAACTCTCACAAGGAGCAACTTCAATAAAAGTGTGAACAATTTACCATTGCATGTTAAGGATTGGAAACAAAATCAATAAGCTGTGTCAACAAATCGGCAATGTAATTCGATGCAAGTATGACAATTCGTGTCACTATTTCAAGGTTGTGAGGTACGCGAATAGCTTTATGAAACAATGCCGTGACTATCCGAAACATTTTGTTAAGGGCAAGAATTACATGGCAAAAATAAGTACAGTAATTTTTTTTAAACTTTTGTTTTTATGATTATCAAGTTACAAGACGAATGAAGCGTATGGTGGTAAGCAACACGCCTGCCTGTAACGGTTGCAGACTCATTCAGATATATATATATATATATATATATATATATATATATATATATGTATATATATATAGAATATTTTTGAAATATATGGAGACGTACACGCAGGTCTGTTGTTGGCGCTGTCCTACTTCAGCTTTCTAATTTATGATTTCAGCGCAAACAAGAGTTGATATTTAAAAGTGATATAATGCCCGTTTGTCTGATGAGTAGCTAGGAATGGTGGCCCTTATTTCGTCTCTATTTCTGGTTATATACTCGATGCATACAAACCAACAAGAGTAAAGTCCTATTTGCCAAATATATATATATTCATTGATTTTACTGTTCTTCTAACTATTCAATAGCGTGCAAAGGTATCATGATTTCGATCATGTTACATTCATGAAGAGACTTTGGTTTGGAGTACATTAAGCTTTCAAAGGTTTCTGGCATACTATAATAAAGAAACGACATTTCTTGAAAATCAGTAAATGTTAGATCTATAGAATCAAGTCTTAATGTAATGTAAAAGATTAAACTAGTTATATCTATAGGAATTATTCATGGTAAACTAATAATTTTTAAATTAGTAGGCAAAAAGTGGGGCATCAAACTCAGTTTTACCCTAGTATAAAATGACATGTAATTGGATTTGTATGAAATTTGTAATGTTGAGAGAAATAAACTAAACCAAACTATTTCTGCCGCCAAGCAGTAATATGCGTCACCCAATATTGTAAAAAACTTGTTTTATAAAAAAACCGACTTCATAAGTTTTGCAGACCCGCGTTCGCTCTATTCCTTACATTAGTCTCTTCAACGATAACTGAAACGCATGCGGAAGGCCTCGTCAAAGTCAAAACAAATAATATGAGCCCAATCTCTGCCATTTCCATCAGCTCTAGGTCACTATTTTATTTTTCATTGAAATCACCTAACGGAAAGTGGGTGAAATTAATTCAATTCATCCCCTAAATTGCCACCCTTTGAGGTGGAATATATTCTTCAAATTTGAATCGGGCCACTGCTGAGGTACTCCCTGTATAACAAAAATAGTATTTTGTATATAGTTGCATAATGAGATTTCTTAAACTCGAGAGCCTCATGGCTTAAGCAATAGGTATTAGATTTTAAGACCTAATTATGTAATGATGGCATACAATAATACTTTTTCTACGAGTAAATAAAATAATGAAACACAATCAATATTTAATGTATATTTAGTTAAACAATCCATGACAACAATCTCAATTTTTTTTTGATAAATTTTCACCCATTTTTTTGAGCTGGCAAAGGTGCCACCATGCAGCCTCTTCATCTTATTTTTTCCATCCTCGAACAAACAAACCAAACAAACTCTACAAAACGAAAAACCATAGAGATTGAATAGAAGTGGTCAATTGCCACTTATATTTAAACCAATATTTTTTTTATAAAGGTTTATGGCCCGGTTGCAAGATGTTTAGGCCAATTTAACCAATCAGGAGCCAGTAGAGCGTTCAAGTAGCGTCATATTTGATATTTAAATTAGCAAAAATACGACTTCTTTTGTAAAATCAGTTCTGTGTACAGAACTGGTTACCTATCAGCAGTCCGAAATGACATTTTCCAGCAATAACGTTTCCTCGAATTTTCATTAGGTACCTCGAAAGTAATTTTGAGAAGAAAATGTTTTCTCTTTTAAACCTAACTTAACCTAACCTAAACGAACCTAATCGTGTCTTTGCGATAAACATCCAACATATCCTGAAAGAATAACGGTTTCGTTATGATTCGGATTAAAGACAGACAGAGAACTATAAAGACATTTTTCAGTTCAGTTGTCAAATTCAATTCAAATTCAAAATAATCTTTATTTCATAGGTAAGCATTATTACACTTGAAATCGTCACAATGGTTAAACTCTACCGCTCATTCGTAAGGCAGATTCCCCTGAGAAGAATGAGCAAGAAACTCTAGAGATTGCTCTTTGTAAATAACATTTACAATATTTTTTTTATTTGAAACATCAGAGATCGAAACTACCTCCATGATCTAAACGGGTTACTACCACGGATTTTTGTCATCCAAGTACGCAGAAGTTGTATAAAGTTTTTGTTTCCCTATAGTTTTAAACCTCGTGAAAGGCAAATTTTGTATATCAACCGGAGTCTTGTTATAGAAGCGTATACATTGGCCCCTTAAATGATTTTTTGACTTTGTGAAGACGACCATCAAGAAAAGCTAGTTTATTTCTATTCCTCGTATTAATGGTATGTCTGTCACTATTTTTCATAAAGAAATTACTATTCCTTTTAACATAAATTACATTTTCATAAATGTACTGTGAGGCTAATGTAAGACTGTTAATTTCCTTAAACTTAGTTGTGGTTCAGTAACGAGTACCATAGACAATAGAATTTTGATTCAGAACGAAAAAGAGCGCCTTCATGATATGGTTTACGAAATTAAAATTGACAGATTAAATAAAGTACAGTAGACAAATGTCGGAGTAAACACGTAACACACACACAAAATAGATAGTCGAATTTAGAACCTTCAACTTTTTTCGAAGCCGGTTAAATGTAAATTACACTTTTTATTGTCCTACGTAGCCTTAACAAAGAATAACAACGGTATTGATTTTGGTGTACTGTTTGTATCTGAACCGGAACGGTGATTTATGACGAAGCCAATTTCGTCTGTTTGCCCCCTGATGGAAACTCGTATTAGGCAAATAGCATATCGGCTGCTAAGAGGCTTCTCGGAACGCGCATCACGTCCAAGAGCACATTTTTCTATTTGTATTTATGAAAATGTAAATGGGGAATATGTTTTCTTTCCCCACGTCTTATTTATGTGTTCAGAACCTTTGTTGATAAGGAAAAAACAACCGTTGAATCGTAAAGCTCTAAGTTTAAAATTAAATTTTGGGTTATTTTCATCGCTATAGTTAACCTATTATATGTCCTATAGATCCAATATGTATTATAGGTCCAATCACAGAACAATAAATACAGTAAAAGGCTAATGCCCAAATTCACCAACAACTCTCAAATTTTAGGTAACACCTAAACTTTGGTAGGTAACGCTGCGATTTGGTTTTCACCGACATTTAATGGACAACTAAAAGATAGACTATTTTGGCAATTGAATAAAACTATTTTCCGAAATGGACGGTGTTATTGACGAAATTTTGAAAAATATTGAAGTTCTAGAAACTGTTCAAGTAATAACAAATGATAGATTAATGGTGCGACCTCGGCTTTACCTTGAAAGACCAGACCTCTTTTCTACCGTGTTATTTTTGCTACTCGTATATAAGTGCTTACAGTTACACTGCACGTGTGTCAACATTGCGGAGTTACACACGCTTGAGCTCCGCCGGCCATTTTCGCATATCTCGAAAATGGTGGAAAAATTCCTTAGTTTTTTACTTTGGAGTGCAAAAACTGATGATGATGATGGTGGTCCATCGTTAAGTCGTATTTTATTTAATTTCAATAAATTTTCCACGACGAACGAAAGTAAACTGCTATTATATGATCATTTCTTTTTTGGAGGACTATGCAAAAATGTAGAAATCGTCGTCGTTCAGCTATTAACCGCTAGATGGCAGCACATTGATTGAAATATAAATATAAAATCAAAACGTCGTAACTTGGAATAATAAGTATAGATAACCGAACGAAAAATGTTTTTGGAAGTCATTTTACATATAACATTATTTTGTTGGTTTTTTTAGTAGGTCACTTTTATTCCAAAATTATCCTACCAATTATATACGTTAGAGGCACAATTTTGTTTAGACAAAGTTTTGTAGCGTTAGAGCTTCCTTGTGAAAGAGTTCGTCTAGGGACGTACTGCCACCTTACCTGTTCCAGCCGCCAAGCAGTAATATGAGCATTACTGCGTTCCGGTTTTGAAGGGTAACGGTGCTGGTGAAATTACAGGCACATACGACTTTTCAACTTATGTCTCAGGGGAATGGGCACAGTGGCAGTGCCCCTCAGATCTTTGCGATTTATAGCTCTGAGTAGCACTGCAACTATTATAGACAGGCGTGTCGCTTTCCATCAGGTGCATGACTAGTTCGTCCCATCACTTAAAATCATAAAAAGAAAAGATTAAACCGCACCGCCCAACAATTTAATTGTATCCAGGATATGGTGGTACTTACCCTGTATGGCTCCTGCCCAGCAGAGCCAGAAGAGAGCCCATTTGGCAGTTCTGAAACGCTGCAGCCATGAGGACCGGAACATGCCCCAGCCGCAACGCAGAATGTGCTGCTCTGTCGGCTGCGCCCCATCTGGGCTGTCGGTTTCAAGCTGAGTATCCGGCTGTAACAATGCAAATAAAAATGTAATAACATACATTTTCTTATAATTATTAATACAAAGATAGAACACTTAGGAAAAACTCCTTCGATCCAACTGGATCAAACCGTGCCAGATGCTATGCCAACTAAGCCACGGAACCATCGAGTATGTAACCAGAAATAGAGACGAAATGTCATTAAGTTTTTTTGAAAACTATTCTGCCAAATCATTACAATGACAACTACGCTCCTATTCGCCAGCCCGAATTCGAAACAATTGACGGGTGTCGTCGTTTAACTTGAGCTTTGCTATAATGGACGAAAACCGAAAAATTATATATTTCATATTTAATTACCGATGAAATGTGATTCTGTTTGTTTTGTAATTACAGGTTTGGCCTCACACAACCGAATGAAACAGCCCCCATTGTTAGAGATTTTACAATAAATACAGAATATTTTTAGAATATACGCAGACACTTAGAATAATAACGCATAGAATGATAGTTTCATATCAAACGAACTGTCACAAGTGAGGCAAAAATCAAATTCATGTAGGCTAGTTTTAGTAGTAGGTTAATTTTCGGTTTTAGTGAATATTTAGATAAAAATACAAGTTGAAACGCGTTACTTCCTTGTGGAATGTGATGTTAGTATCTATTTTATGTTTGTCTGCCGTATTTTTACACTCATTTACCGCACATTTCGTCATTTTTAGTTAAAATTCTTGATCTGTTCGCGGTGCAAGTTGACCTTGAGCACTGAAGGCCCGCCCGCTCGTGTAGGCCCTGTGGGAGCGCTTCAATTTGCCTCACTTAGCGTGTGCGGACTAGGTTTCTATGCGTTATTATTCTGGACATACATACAGGTCAGTTGTTGGCGCTGTACTATTTCAACTTTCTAATTTGTGATTTCAGCGCAAACGAGAATTGATATTTAAAAGTGATATAAGACCCATTTGCCTGATGCGTTGCCAGGGATAGACGGCCCTTATTTCGTCTCTATTTCTGGTTATATACTGGACGCACGGAACGAACGTTAGGCATAAATGTTGGAACAGTAGTTTATGAGACTTTTTACATAAAGGCATTGAAATATGGGCGAGATTCATAAAAACATCACACGAGTGTTTTAATGCCCAATTATGTCCAGTTACATACACTGCTTTATCTATACACATATTTTAAGCTCTCTATGATGTGTTACCGCAAGTTATGACTGGCGAAATGGCGGCAAATAATAACTTTCTCAGGCATGTAACACAACCGCAGTTTTTTTTCCTTCGTTCCGTTTGGAAGAAGCGAAGGTCAGAGATCATACTACCTAGTCATTAGTTTCTGTTTTTTTTTGTATGTATGTTACGCGATAACTCCGGTATTTGTGAACCGATTTTCATGATGCTTTTTTGTTGGAAAGGGGGTACTTCCATAGTGGTCCCGTTTCATTTTGAAGGAAATCATCCACCCCTAAGGGTGGCTTCACGCATGAAGATTCTTTTTTATAAATAGCGCCTAATTTTAAATTAGGAGCAATTACTTTAATGGTTGATTTTGCTATTTCTCCAATTCAAGGCGTTTTTCTCTCAATATACTTTGAGTAGTGTCGTAATGAGAACCTATTTTTATTATCTCCAGTGTCAAGTCCTGAATAGTAGCGAACTAGGGGATATTGCAATAAAATTTAGCAAATAGACGTAATTCCACGTACTTTTGAGGTCGGTTTTTTTAGTAATCTGTACTGAGATTATCTTCAGTAAATATGTTTCGATCTAAGTCTTCAGTGTAAGTCTTCAGTACCTATTTCAGTAAGAGCCGTGTAGTATTTAATTCATAGACAAACTAGAGTCGGCCCCAACTATCATTTTCAAATTTGTCAAAATTTCAAATTGCTTCAATTCGAATTTGAATATAACAATAAAATCGAATTTGTTAATATTATGAAGCAAAAATAACATTTTCACAGATAAGAAATTTGTTCGAACAAAACAGTTTATCTCTATGCTTGTCGTAATATGCGGTTTTTGAACACATCATAGAGGGTTTATGATATGTGTGTAGATAAAGTATTACTATACATTCACTCATATGCACTTTGACAGATTATACCAGGTGTAACATGTTTATTTTTCAACAATATTACATAGGCATGTTGTGTGCATACATGGATTATTAAGTTAGTAATTTAAGCCGAGTCACCGGAGGAGAAGCGGAACATACTGTTTGCTAGATCAAATTGTTTAGGAATTGACTATTAAATAACGGTATTACGAATAATTTCCGTTACACCTAAGGATATTGTCTAAAGAATGTGCTAATTCGTTATACGATAGGATGTACTTTACTCGAGTAAAACGAATTATTTAAGAATAAAACATCTAATTTAGCGCAATTTTTATATGGAGATATTTCTCTGTGTTACAAAGAACCTGCTAAATTGTGGTTTTCAACTTAAGACTTTTAGTTAAAACTTGAAAATTGCCCGGCGGTTTAACGACACGCCGCGCCGACAGCTGCCCCGTCAGTCGCCGTCGGGCGCTTGTGAACGCCGGATCTGTGTCAAATTTTCTCCGCCAGTTCTTATTTTGTTCGTAGTAGTTTTAAGCGCGCTGATTGCAGGACGCGAGTAGCGGCCCCCACACCTCACCTCCTAAAATCTAGACTCCCATTCAAATACCTCGCCTTAAACGCGGTGACAGTTATATGAGTAAATTTTATTGATAACAATATATCATAATAATAATTTGAATAACGTGAAAAGAAATTCAGGCACTGTACAGTACTTTTTAGTAGCAGTAGAGCCCATCGTGAATGAGTTCGTCCAGGGAAGTAATGCCACCTGACCTATTTCTGCCGCCAAGCAGTAATGTCAGAATCACTGCGGTGAAATTACAGGCACGTGAGACTTGTCAACTTATGTCTCAGAATGAACGGGCGCAGTGGTAGTGCTCCTCAAATCTTTGCAATTTAAAGCTCTGAGCGGCACGTGCAGTGGCAGTGAGTGTAGCTTATTATCAGGTCAGTTGTTATAAAAAAATCTACATTTTATTAGTCGAAATTGTAATTATTAATATAAATAGATAGATAAAGATCGTACACAGAAAAATTTCATCGACCCGGTGGGACTTGCACCCACGACCATGTGGCATCGTAGCATTGCTCTGACTAACTGAGCCACAGGTCGAGTTACCGAGTTGTCGAAATTTTCCTATGTGTTTTTTTGTTTTAGTACTTTTAGTGTTTATCTGTACTGGCTATCGGCATTCGTCGCCCATATTGGCATTTAGAGAGAGATTTTTGAAGAACCTCACCGCATTGCAGTGTTCGATCTTTGTAACAAAACTAGTAGAGTTATTTCACAAACAATCTCAATAATTTGTCTCGTAGGACTCGCGTAGTTAAACAGAAGACTCGGTCCACATGAATTTCATTGTAGAAATAAAGAGGAAGTATAAAACACTTACTTAAATTATATACAGAGCCTGTTATTTCTAGAAATACTATGCCTTATAAGCAGTTAGGGGACATGATTTAACTGATCAGAATTTCGTGTCACGTCGAGCACGTGTGCTCGCTTCGGAAATATCAGTAGGGAGTCGCGACGGAACGAAGAAAAGTAACCGATGAAGAAGAAAAAGGAATTTAAGAACGATTCAAAATTTCAAGGTGCTTAGGTGGCCAGGAAACAGAGAAAAGGGTGATAAACAGGTGGGATGACGATGACATACGGCAACAATAAACATACAAAAACATAACGGACGTTGTAAATTAAAACCCTTGTGCGATTGTAGTTCAAAGGCGGCTGTCTATTACTGTCACTTATTTGGGGCAATTTGTTAATATCTAATAATGTTAACGTAACGATGCATGAAAACACATAACATAAAAATTAATAGGATGGGTTATCAACGTCGCTACTCCATCAAAAGTTTAAGCGACTACAAACACCGCTCGTATTTATTTCGTCGTACTGCACGCAATCGCAATGTATAGAAAAATGTTTTTTTTTTATCGAGTTCTTAGATTTTCGCGATTGTTACACATAGGAAATGAAACTATTTTTCCGGATTTAAATCGCGTATATTTGTTTTTTCAAACAAACCGACGTTTCGGGCAGTTTACAGGTCCCATGGTCACGGTTGACTGAGGTGGTAGTCTTCAACCAGTTATGTCTAATTTTGATGCAAACCACCCTATTTTTTTCACTATAAGTTACAATAGTTATTAATTAAATACCTTATTTTTAATTTTACAAAGAAAACGTTACAATTTACGCTACATTAAGTTTTACAAATTATTTTATTGAATGAATTTTTATTAAGTTCAATTTATTATTAATTAATAATAGAAATTAGAATAAACTAAAAGATATTAATTAGTACTGCAGTCTTATGTCTGTTTGGGATTTTTCATTAGAGGAAATACTGGATCCCAAACTGGTGGTACTGAGAAACCATTTTCTCTGTTGAAATTAGGATGTTTTTTAATTTCCAATAGGTACTTCACATACCAATGATTTTTTTTTATATCACCTGTACTAAATAGAACACGTATAGTATTGTTATTTATGTATATAGATATGTAGTATTTTTACTAGTAGCAGTAGAACTCATTGTAAAAGGGTTCGCCCAGGGAAGTACTGCCACCTTACCTGTTTCTGCCGCCAAGCAGTAATGTCAGCATTACCTTTTCCGGTTGACGGGTGCAGTGACAGTGAGTCATATCTTTGCGATTTAAAGCTCTGAGTGGCACTGCAGCTGTTATGGACAGACGTGCAGGCGTTATTATCAGGCGTACGACTTGTCCGTCCCGTCACTTGATATTATAAAACAAAAGTATACGATACACATTTTTCAAATAGTTTTAATTTCGTTTGTATGAAAATAAATTTGGAAATGGAAATTGAAAAAAAAAAATTGGAAAAAAATAAAATCAGTGTCCCTGCTGCTCGAGGCGCGCTATAGAACCGATTCAGTACGGGAAAAAATATGAATTCGAGCTGAGGTAGTATCTTTTAGACTTTTAA